CTCCTGGCCAAGGGCAAACCCATCACAACTTATAGTGACGAAAGTTGCCTCTGTCATGTAAATCAGAAAAAATGCATCAAAAAGCTAGCTTGTTTTTTTTAATGAGAGTTTTAATTAAGATTATTATGGTTCAGTCTCTTGAGGAGTGGAAGTCTAATATTTGAAATTAATAACTTGCAGCTTGTGGTCATTGCTAAAACTGAAGAACCTTTGTTGGAAGTTATATGGAAGGGCACAAATTCATCTGGAAAATAAAATGTCAAAGCATAGGTAATAAAATGATCCTTAAGAATGATGTGTACAGATCTTCTAGCAGTTGAGACTTCAGGCAATCCTCAAGTGATTCTAAGAAATTTTGGTAACACTTTAATGGAGTATTCTTTGTCTTCCAGTAACATTTTTCCAAATCCATTTCAGCTTGCAAATTCCATTGAGAAACTTGATATACACTGTGAGATACCATGTGATTTATTATGTAAGTACTACAGAACTTTCAAGGAATCTGTTTTTCTTCTCAGGAACTGGATACTTCAGAAGAGAAGAAGGGCGTGCTGATAGCAGCTCCAGGACCTGCACCTGCAAAAAGTGTTGTGGAATTTGCCAGTTCTTCACCAACTCCAAAAAGACCCCGGGAGGATAACAGCCTTGTGCCTCTTATCATTCCTGTGTCAGTGCCAGTGAGAAAAATTGACTTGCAGAGCCTTGGAAAGGAAAAGTCTGAGGATGGAAAGCTCCAGAGAGGCCAAACAAATGATCGAACTCCTTGTGAACGCAAGCCTTCTGTGATAGTCACTCGGAGGCGATCTAATCGTAATACTAACATGGAAACCTCAAGTCAGGTATGAATAGCCTAAAATACAATGAGCCAAATATTGTGTCCAGTTCTGGGCCCCTCAGTTCAAGAGGGACAGGGAACTGCTAGAGAGAGTCCAACGCAGAGCCACGAAGATGATGAAGGGAATGGAGCATCTCCCTTATGAGGAAAGGCTGAGGGAGCTGGGTCTCTTTAGCCTGGAAAAGAGGAGACTGAGGGGTGACCTAATCAATGTTTATAAATACGTGAAGGGTGAGGGTCAGGAGGATGGAGCCAGGCTCTTCTCTGTGACATCTAGTGATAGGACAAGGGGCAATGGGTTCAAGCTGGAACATAGGAGGTTCCACTTGAATATGAGGAAAAACTTCTTTACAGTGAGGGTGACAGAGCACTGGAACAGGCTGCCCAGAGAGGTTGTGGAGTCTCCTTCTCTGGAGACATTCAAAGCCCGCCTGGATGCGTTCCTGTGTGATCTGATCTAGGTGTCCTGCTCCGGCAGGGGGATTGGACTAGATGATCTTTCGAGGTCCCTTCCAATCTCTAACATTCTGTGATTCTGTGAAATCTGTTAGATTTAATGACATAGTTTTTATCCGTAAGCTTTTTTATTAAAATAGTTTGATCTCAAGGCTCAACCTTGGAATGGATGTATTCTGGGGACTATGTATTTTTTTCATCATAATATTGCCATGTATTTGGGCATCTCTGGCTTTTCATGACCTCCAGCTGATGCTAGGACAGTCAAGCAATGCCCCACTACTAAATAGTGAATAAAGACAGATAATAACATTAGAATAAATAGTCTGTGTGAGTAAAGAGTGCTTTATCCATGCATACATAGTAATAAATTGTAAGTAGTGCACACATGTCCGTATATGAATAAAATACAAAGTGAAGATTTCTTTCCATGGAATTGAAATCTCTTACTGAGGTTCTGAAGGTCAGTACGTGAGTATTCCCCTTCAGTGTGGTGCTGTTGAGTGGGTTTTTGGTTTTGTTTTTTTTTTTTATTTCTTATATTCAGAAGTGCTGTGGAATGCTCAGATACCAGATAAATGGCAGGCATCTGGGGAGGTTTCTCTGCATTTAAATGCTTGACCATCTAAGACAATATTGTTAATCTGTCTTCTGTTCTCTTATTGCTACTTGGTGTCACCCTGTATCTGTACCAGGGTTCTGCTATACTTTTGTCCTCTTTTAAAACTACCATAAGGTCATTATATTTCCAGCCAGAGGTTGGACCAGACATATGTAGTTCTTTTAAAATATAACTTGTTAAGCACTCGGAGCTAGTGTTGCTACCTAATAGTTCCTGTGTCCGTTCCATTCCCTATGATCTTCCTCCCTCGTTGCCTTTGTGCTAATTGTTGAGACACCCTCCAGCTGCCCTATCCAGATTTTGAGCTTCCATGAAGGAATGTTGTTATCCCACTGAAGTTTTTCAAATAACCTGAGGTTTTAAAATGAAATTATGTAATTTTTTTCTAATAGCATGAAGATGCTGTTCCAAAGGATGAAGCAGAGGGCTTTGCCCGGAAACCAAAGCAGCGGCCAAGACCTGAGCCACTCTTCATACCACCAAAAGCTGGCACCTTTATTGCACCACCTGTTTATTCTAACATTACTCCATATCAGAGCCACTTACGGTCACCTGTCCGTCTGGCAGATCATCCTTCAGACAGGAACTTTGAGCTACCTCCTTACACTCCTCCACCAATTCTCAGTCCAGTAAGAGAAGGATCTGGACTATATTTTAATGCTATCCTCTCTTCAAGTGGTCATTCAGTTCCACCTCCAATGACTCCTAAAAGTGCTCACAGAACTCTTCTTAGATCAAGTAAGTTCCACTTCATCCTTTCTTTACTGGCTAATTTATTATTAGGAACTGTGGAGTAGTAGGAGGAAGATCATGACTTTAGGAGGTGTGGTTATGTGGAACTGAGATTTCTTCATGATAGTGTGGAGAGCTCGGATGGAGAAAATGCAGTGTTGCTTCCATCTGGGCATGCATGTTAAGATGTATTTACAAGTAATCTGCAACACCCCCTACTGATGATTTTAGGAATAGAAAAGTCAGTTCTATAATAGATTGTCATTAACTTGAACTGAGGGGACTGTAAACAGTTATTACTAAGATGTAGATGGTGACTGGAAGGTAAGTTCTTGGTTGTATTAAACTCCTTTAGCATATGGATACTTTTTTTGAGAGATGGGTAGCTCTGATAGATTTACAAGCTGTGTGTAGAATATATCTCAAATGCAAAGATGAGCTGTCTGAGCAGTTTTCTTTTCCTTGCAGATAGTTCAGAAGTTACTCCTCCTGTTCTTACAGTAGTGGGGGAAGCCACCCCAGTCAGCATTGAACCGTAAGTATGCAGTAGATTCTTAGCCTGGTAGTAAATGTGCTGCTTTTCTTCCTCCTAAACCTTCAAGCTGCTCCCTGTACAGTTGATGTCTCTCTTAGAAACATTAAAGCTCTTCCTGTTAGTGACTCAAAATTGTCTTTATTAAAAATCACTCCATATGATAAATAATGTTTGTTTGGGCGGACGCACCTGGTAATTCTGGTGATGCTAACTGCTTTCTGCTACTGCTCATCTGGCTGAAATACTGTTGGTTGGCTAAAGGTGAATCTGTGTCCAAACACTTCTTTGTATGTTGTATGTTCATTTTAGAGTGGGGAAATAATGCTCCTTTAGAGGAAGACCAAAACATAGTATAGAAAAATGTGGTTAGCTCTCACGTGGGCTGGTCAGGTTGCAGATTATCCGTGTGGTGTGTGTTAGCTGCAGCACAACTTGTGAACATGACTTTGCTCCTGCCTGGGCAAGCTCAGTGTGGAGGCACTGCAGCCAGCTGCGTACAGTGTGAGTGGCCTGAGCTAATAAGCCTCATTGGTATTTTTAGCTGACTGTGTGCTGGGAAAGCTCAGACATGCGGACCCAGCAGCACCAGGGAACAGAGTTTGGAGATATGGAAGCTGGAGTTACGAGCTTCGGCTTGGTGCCAGTCCCACTAAACCTGAGAAGAGTAGCAAAAAAACCAGCAGCGAATACCTCTCACAACCCTTGCAAACCCTCTGGGAGTGTTATCAGCTCGAGTTCAGCGCTGTAGAAGTACAGCGCAGTAGTTCCAATTCGTTATTAAACCTAGGTTAATGAGCTGTTGTGAAATCTAAACATGGAGATGTGTGACATGGAAACACCCCCGTGGCTCTGCATAGCTTACTCTGTGCAGTCAGGAATCTCTGCTCTAGCTCTGCAGTGTATCCTGTAACATTTGAGATGTTTAACTCAAACTCTCCCCAACTAAATACCAGACTGCTTTTACTTTTTCTTCTGAAATGGCTTATATTTTAAAAATGAACTGGTACATTTGCTGTCATTTTCTTTTTTTCTCGCCCTTTTTCCATTCTGCCTTCCTGTTTGAAGCTGAGTTTTCTGCACTTCTGGCAGCAGGCTGTCCTGAGCGAATGTTGCGATTGTGAATGAACCCAGGTTATTCTTGTCATTGTTGCAAATCTCTTCCAGGCTGAGCCTGATCATGGAAATAAGCACATTTGGTGTTTTTTAAATCTGTTTTGAAGATAGCTTAATTCATCTTTTTGTTGTTAGTTCATTGCACACCAATCCAGGGAACCTCTTCTTGAACAGATATTTTTTGTTCGCTCCAAGTCTTGATCTGGAACTCTCTGTGGTGCAATTCTATTTGGCTGTTGTGTCTGTTGGTTTAAATTGATGAAGTTAATGACATAAACTTATCTGCAGTTCTAGTCCTGTGTGAAGACTTTCAAATTTGGTGCTGGAATTTTCAAACCGTAGTAACTTAGTAATGCAAGTTCATTTTCTGTTGCCAAAAGGGAGCTATGTGCAAAGAGTTGTCTTGCTGTTATCTAAAGTCTTACAGAGCAGGTGCTTACGCAGGTAGATAGGTTTAACTTTTAACCAAGATAAATTAACAAACTGGTATCATTCTGTGTTGTCAAAGTAATCAGTTTGCTGCTCTGAAGCTAGTTTGTGCAGCACTGTTGTGGTCAGTTATGTAGACCTATCTTCTATAAAGGAAATATGGCAGGAAGTACTTTTTTTTTTTTTAAGAAAATGTTTAATTTGATTTGTAGTCTTCACTCTGTCAGAAGTTGACTGTAACTCGTGATTACCTGATGTTGTGTTCTTAATTGCTTGTGCTTTGCCAGGCCTTCTGCTGATGCTTCTCAAAGGTCATTTCATTGCAGAGGTTTGGCGTAGGAAGTGTGATAATGAACCTTAGTTCTTCTATTTGTGAAGTGGTACAATAGGCAGCTGGTGTCACAGATCTTTGGGTCCTACTGATTTTGCAGTCCATTTGCTTCAAAGTCTTCAGGACAGCAAAGGACTAGAAAAGTCTATAGGCTGGCATTTCTCGGATGTTTTTGTTACTATTCCTTATTGTACTGGATTGTGTTTTTTTCTCTGGTAATTGTGTTTCCCCTCATGCTGTCAGGGAACCAAGCCAAGACTTGAGAATTATAACAAACCTTTCCCTGAGCAGGGAGGTTTACCTTTTTTTCTAATGAAGCAACTCCAGAGTTTAATCATCTTGTAGGTACTGCCTGATCTACTCTTTAAAAAAAAAAAAAAGCTTATTTCTCCATCCTTTGCTAATTCAGGAGCTACCAGTATGATGCTAGTTGACTGACAGCTGAAAAAAGAACATTTTTTGCATTAAGCATAGCTATCTTGTTTCAGATTAGGAGATTTTCATTATATTCTAAGTGCTCTGAGCGGCAGCTGTTCTCTCATACCTTAGTTTTCTGAAGGGTCTTTTTGCTGGCTTAGGACATTTCTTTTGCTCTCTCTTCTGGACCTCTGAATTGCATATGTAGTTGCTATATTACTTAGAAAGTTGAGTATATTTTGCACTGAGTTTGTGTAGCTACTGCTGTCTCTCTGCATATTTTTGCCACTGAGTAAGAGATGCAGAGCAATGGCAAAGGACATCCATGCTCTCACTGCTTGGTGTGCTATTGGTGCGGACCTAGAGACGTCCGAGTCTGGTAGAGCAGTCTTTCAGTGGTGGTTCTTACCCATCTCCGTGCACAAAATCCTGTTTGCTAGTACAGAGTAGAATCTCTGTGGATGGTCGCTTAACTTAAAGCAGGTATAGTGCTCTGTGGATTGCATGGTGTGAAAAATCTGTCTGCTAAGTCAGAATGTCCAAGTATGGGATTGTTGCTAAAATAACAGGATTTGGTTTTGGTACAGAATGAGCAACACAGCTTTCATTGTTTTCTATTTTTTGTTTCAGTTGTTAGAAATAGTACCTTCTAGAAACTAGCTTGTGTCAAAGATTATAAACGACCAGACTTTGAGATTGATCCTGCTTTGAATTGAGAGTTGGACCAGATAGGTTGAAAAGGACTTGTGGAGACTAAATGGTGCTATGATTCCGTAGTTCTGGCTGGTAAAAAGTTAATACTAAAACTTGCTCACCTATCTTATGCATGAGGAGCAAGCTTGCCACAAGAGGAGTCCATGTGACAGCCTCTCAAAAAGTGATGATTACTGAAAGCTAATAACTGTTCTTTGAGCACTTGTTAGGAAATCCTAATTTAAATACAATTCCAACCGTTGTTGATAAGACAATGGAAACTGGTAATAGACATAAAACCTCTCACCTTTTGAGTCATTAATGTAACCTGCAACACCTGAAACCTGTTCGTGTTATATGCAGGAGCCTGCTGCATTTCAATTTCTTCATAATTAGTGCTTTTAGCAGAGATAGAGGCTTTCTGCATATTGTACAGGGGGCCTGACCGTTAGTTGTTACCTTCTCTGCAGGCGAATAAATGTAGGAACTCGCTTTCAAGCAGAAATCCCATCACTCCAGGACAGATCTCTGGCAGCAGCTGATGAACATAAAGCAGAGCTGGTGTGGCAGCCGTGGGGTGACCTGGAAACCAACAAAGTCACCCAAGGGAATGGTAAGAATGTGGCAGGCTGGTAAATGGGACCGAAATATCACAGTTGTAGTAGGGTTGACTGCATGTCTAGTGTAGGCATAATTTTAAATCTCTCAGAGCTGACAGTCAAGTGACATGTTTGGGTGGCCTTGAAAACAGTGTTAAGGAGTAAAACTTGTGGTTGTGTGTGGCAGGGGGAGGTTGATAGGATTGGGTTTTTTAATTGAGATAAATGGCACCATTTGTTACTGGTCAGGCAAAGAGCAGCCTTTTGTTCAGTGAAGCTTCCGTCTCTTTGTTACCATTTGAACACCACATGCACTCAACTTCTGTATTTTCAAGGGATGTTCTAGACATAATAGTATTTTGGAAAAATCAAGTTGTAGACGGAAGTCAGGATGAGGAAGCAGGGGTTGTGGCCCCTAGTAGCAGACTTGGGGAGCTGTCTGCTGTTGGTGCACATGGGCTGTGGCGTGTATGAATCCTGAAGGGAAGAGAAAGTGGGCAGGCTTGGAAGAAGTCTTTCTGATGAAAGAGAAAAAAGGGTATTGTGAAATGGAACTTCAGAATATAGTAAAGGGGGGAATTCAGAAAATCTTGGATGTGAAGTGAGATGGGAAGACATTATAGGAGGCAGGAGAGGAGATCTGCAAGAAACTCCATGTGTAAATAGTCTTGTGTGCAGAGTAATGTTGTTTGACCTTGCAGTCTAATAAGTTCTTGTGTCCAAATTTGTCCCAGATAAATCTGCAAGGATGTTCAGATTCTCTGAAAGTTTTACTTTCTGTTATGTCTATCTGTGCTTCAAAATTAATGATGTGGATCCTGTAGGAAAATCCATTTTAATCTTCTTCTTTGAATTTGTTTGGTACCTCTGTGGAAAATAGTGGAAAACCTGCTAGCTGCTGCCTGTTCAAGCATTTTTCCTGGGGCTGGAACCAACCAGGAGTTGGCGCTGCATTTCTTACATGAAGCAAAGGGAAGCATTCTGGTGAGTCTTCCCAGCTTTTCACCCTGATGTGGTCAAAGATGTTAATGATGGCCAGGTAACCTGTCATTCCTGAGAGGAGAGCCTTGCAGACTCCTTCCTGTGCATCTGGCTCCCACTGTTTAGTGTCCCTTGGAGATGTTGCTGTCCCTAGAGTGGGTTCTGCCTGATGTACAGTACCATGTTCACTTACTATCTTGCCTATTTCCAACTTTGACAAGTTTGGCTTTTTAACAGACAGACAGTCTACTGGGGCGAGCAAGCTGCTAAATGCATCTTAAATGTTGTCTTCCTGGGAAGACGACCATGTTGGAAGGAAAAATAAGAGGCTGGGGCCGAAGCTGAGACTTCCAAAAGTGCAGTGTCTTGCTCCTCTGACTTTTGACAGATCCATTTAACTTCTCTGTGCATGTCTGTAGAACAGCTGTGCTGCTAGTTCTGTATCAGTGTTGTAAGATATGATACACTTTCATAAATGCCTTTTGACACCCCTGTGAGGTAGAATCAAAGAGCAGAGTGTAGTGTGTAGGACAGGGTCATACTCCTTTTATAGTCCTATGATTGATTTAACCTGGCACAGATCAGCCCTGTGGTCAGGAGTATCCCACACTTTTCCCTGCCTGCTTGTTTCCCGTCCCCTGTAGCATGCCAGCACTTACACTTATGAGACTGTATTGACCTGCACTGGAGAAGAGAACAAATAGGAAGTAATTTTTGTGTGTACATGCTAGATAAAGTTCCCAGAACCAGCCCACCATTGTGAATGCTGTTGCTGGCATTAGGGAGGAGCAGGGCTGCTCCTGGCAGCAGGAGCTCACTGTTAAGGTAGTTTGCCCATGGAAGCATGACTCCATCCTCTCCTTCCTGCTAACATTGAAAGCTCTTCCAGTTTAAATGCAAAGTAAATAGTAGCTTGAGAGGGGGCTTTTGTGTAGAATCTTTCAGTCCCATGACTGCTCTGTTTTGTTTTTGAAATATTTCTTGGTTAAGTGAGACAAGATCACAACCACTTTGATGTTTAAGATATCATTTAGGGCAGCATTTTTAGATGTGAGTGGACTCAGTGGATAGTCAAGAATGTGATTTTAAACTTGTCCCAAATGTTAAACTGTGCTATGGTTCTTCTCAGTTTGCTTGCCAGAAAGGAGAGGATTAACAATTGCCTGATCTTTGTTTTTAAATACCCCAAACATTAAATTATTTTGTGTTTCTCTTAGGGAGCTTTGACCAAACTGCTATTGAAGAGGCCAGTGCGATCACCTACCCACCCTTTGGCAGATTATCACTACACAGGTTTGTTAACCAGAATAATTGTGTGCTGCCGGTCTACCATAAAGGAATCCTTCCATCCTTTTCTGCTCTTTTGGGGAACTCTGTAACATTACAATAAGATTAAAAGACCACTCTTCTCTCTGTAAATGAAATTGTGGCTTGCCAGGAATTTTGCTTGTGTAAATTATGATACATACAATGTAAGAAACACTGCATCTCTCAGAACATGTGCATGTGTGTATTTGCATATGTGTGTGTTCTGATTTCCTTTTTGGAGAAAAGGGAATATGACCCCTTGCACTAAGCACAAAGAATGCAGAAAGATGGCTAGTACGTACAATAAAGGCTGTGGTAACCTCAGAACCACAGCCTGTCTGGTGTGAATTTCCAGGGTGGAGTTAAGAGGGAGTTTTGTGGGAAGAGTTTTCAAGCTTGCCGGAGAAATTTCCGCCAATTATTGATGCCTGTCAATGTTTCTGCAAAATTTAAATGCTGTAAACTACCTTTGTAGTCTTGCACCTAATTAGAAAATAGTCAGCTGAATGACACTAACTTCAGTGACGTAGAGTGACCCGAGCCACCTGAAAGACCTGATGCAAGGTGGTAGAGAGACATGTAATAGCTGGCACCACAAAGCAAAGAAATTACATTTCTTCTTTATTACATACTCCTACTATAATGCTTGGGAAATATTACTTCAGTAATACCTGTAAGGTGGGAGGAGATTCCAAAATGTGTTTATTATTAGAGGCAAGGGTGCTAGGATAGTAGGAATAGTTGAGATGTAATAAATCTTCAAGTACAGTGGACTGCTGGTAGAAGAGAAGATCATGTTCTTCCACCCCACCATTTCCTTTGTGTAAAATCTAATGACTGGGCCACCACAAAGTGTGTCTATTCACCTTGCTGTTTTGTTGGAAAACATCTTAGTTCTTCTAATTGGCCAGTTTTCGCAAGCTGAACAGAGTTAACCTCTGGTGATGAGTACTAGATCGAACACAAAGGAAGTGATGAGAGGCGGGATGAAGTGGAGCAGTAGGGGAGGATTTTGCGGCAGTCTGTGGTTATGCTGGATTTGGTGTGATGTGAGGCTGCACCTTTGCTTGGGTGTATTGGTTTTATTTAAGGCAAACATGAAGAAAAAGTACATAGAGTAAACATTTGAAATTGCAAGGGCTTCAGTTACAACTTTTTTTTTTATCTACAGGATCAGACAAGTGGAAGGTTGCTGAAAAAAAACTTTTCAACAAAGGCATTGCAATCTACAAGAAAGACTTTTTCTTGGTCCAGAAGCTTGTAAGTTACTTTTTCTTTGTTATGACAGCAGTGATACATTCTTACATGTTTGCTGAGCATTTAATACAGAGAGTTCAGTCTTGATTTTTCTGAAATCTCAGTATTAAGCATTAAGTCCTGCACTCAAAAGATTTCAGAGAAATTTTATCATCCAGCACAGCGTAAAATCTCACCAGAACAGTAATGTATGTTTTCCTGTTTTTGTTTACTTAATCCTTGTACTTACTGCACTACTTCCATTAATCCACACTACACATATCACTGCTACAGGGCATATTTATAGAGTGCTTGTAATGTTCCAAGACAGCTTAAATGGCTTGTTTATAAAACTAAATAGAAACACATCCTTGCTACTGATGAAAAGGACCAAAGAAGGATACATGAATGATGCATCCTTTAGGATCTCTTGCCAGTTTTTTGTGACAATGATTGTAAAAATGATCATTCCCATCTATTTTCATGAGGTATGACACTTCAGTGGGGGGAGAAGTGACTGAAGGAGAGTGCAAAACCAGGAGCTGCATACATATTTCCTGAATAAATTCTGAAAAGGCATCTAAGTTGCAAAAGCCCAGAAACTAAGAATATATTCCAAAACTTCCATAAAAATCACTGATAGAGAATATGTAGACAGTCATGGGTCTGCACTGATAATTATCTACCACCATATGTGTATGAAATGCATGTGGTCAAAATGGGAAAGGGCTGCAAGCCTTCTTTTCCATTTTTGGATAGGTATTCTGGTCTGGTCTTCTCTGAAGTGCTGCTGGAAAATAAAGCTTCCCCATAAAACTGAAAGGCTGCTCTCGAGCCTGACAGCTCAGTTGGAACGTTTCAGAGGCTAAGAGGTGCATTAAGCTTACAAAGTGCCAGGTTCTGTCACCTTTACATTGACCAGCTTTTCTTTGGAAAGTTGATTCTGTGGTTCTTAGTGAATAACAGTGGCGATAGGGGATGGGCTGTGGGATGAGGTGTATGGGCAAATATGACACAGAAAAGAAGGCTTTAACAGCAGTTGTGGTGGAATGGAGGCTGCTGGGGAAAGAAAAATATAAAGTGTATTTATTGCACCTTTAGCCATTACTTATAAGCCTTCTTAAAATCATGTAACCATTGGACTTTTTATGTTTTTAAACATCAGATAAAAACCAAAACAGTGGCTCAGTGTGTGGAGTTCTACTACACATACAAGAAACAGGTGAAAATTGGTCGGAATGGGACCTTAATCTTTGGGGACATTGATGCTGCTAATGAGAAGTCTATGAAAGATGAAGCTGAAGTTGACATCAAGGTAACTTACTAAATTTCCATCACCTCTTTTGGGCTGTGGTGTGAAGTCTGGTATTTGTCTGTTGTCTCATTTGCTGCTAAAATCAAAAGTAGAAGCAATCTGGCCAGTGTGGAGGAGTCCAGATTCACAAACTTGTCCTGTGTCACATTAATGACACTTACACCAAAATTAACAGTTCCTTTATTTTCTGGTGAAGAGTTCCCATAGGTTTGCACGTGTTCTTCCTCCCAGAAGGGACATTTACAGTGAAGAACAGGGGCATGTGGAGGAGGAGGAAGAGGAGGAGGAAGAAGAGGAGGCAGAGGAAGGGTTGGAGAGTGGAAAGAAGAGCACAGTTCCTCTCAGAGATGATGAACAGACACTACAAGATGGTGTAATAGTAAGTGCTTGATTGTGCATGTTGTGCTTTCTGTGCCACCTTCACTCTGCAACTAGTTTATAAAATACCAGGTGGACAATTCCAAATGTAAAAAGTTTCCACCTCTAACTTCTTTCAGCAAGAGACTGGGCTGAGGTAGCTTAAGAGTATTACTAGCAACAAGACTGTGTGCTGTGGTGGGACAACTGGGACGAGTAAGGGAAAAAAGCTCCAGTATATTTCTTTGTGGTTGGTGCACGCATAGGACCATGATGAGAAATGTCCTGAAAATATCCTGAAGACTTTCTCAATAGATAACACCTTGATCTGGAATAAACAAAGCGCAGGAGCTTAGCCATTGTTTTTCTTCTGATGGTGGGTTTAAGTTTCAGTTTGCCTTAACTGTTCCCCTCTCTCCAAAGGCTGGTGATGCCAACATGAGGAGTGAAGAGGCAGCTGTCACAGGCAGAATTGGAAGGAAGCCAAGGGAGACAACAGTGAAGCCTCGAAAGCCTATTACTGCTCCAGTGCAGAGGAGAAGGCGGAAACAAAAGATAAAATCAGATGCTACCAGTAAAACTCAGAACACAGAAAACACATTTCCATGTAAAAAATGTGGCAGGTGAGAACAATTCCGCCACCAGCAATAGTCACAGAATTGCAGAAGAGCATCTCCTGCATTATTCTCAAATGAGCTTTCCTTCTGTCTGTTTAGGCCAGAGACACTGGCAATAATTTTCATGACTTATTACCCCACTAATATTTGAAGATTAGGGGGTTTTACATATTTTTAGATTAAGATACTACTACTTGGATAATTGCCTGCTGCTGACTGTTTTTCCTCGAATGGAGTGAGACACCACCTGCATTTCAACTATGTGCAGTATTTGGTGTTAAGCTGCACTTTCAGCCAGCTGCTGTATTGCCCCTCTGTAATGCCTGTGTTTTTGTAACAAGTAATCTCTATACTTATGAACATGGTATAGACTTATGAACAGTGGTATAGAAACACAAGACACTACCATTGGTACAGCAGCAGGTATTAGGCTGGGGGCTACACAATTCATCTGGTTAAACTTGCACCCTTCTTTTGTGTCTAAAGGATATTTGTCTTTCCTCACATAGTTCCAGTAGTTTTTGTAGGTTTGTTGCCAACACATTCATACATGTAAAGAAAATTCAGTTCCCTACATAATTGCTTACTTTAAAACAATAGAGTGTCTCATAATACCAGTGGTTATCTCCTTACTGAAAGAAAAGACACCGATGGGATGGCAAGAAAATGCAATCTCCATCTAGTTACGTCACCAGGGGCGTTGACAGATTCCTACTGTGGCTGGGACTTAGCTGGTCCTGTCGAGGTGCTCTGTCTCTGTGCCCTCAGGGAGCACATGGCATTGGAAAGGGCAGTGCTGGGAGAAGTCAGGCAACTGGGATTTGGTCCTGGCCATTGACAAAGGCGAAGCAGCCAAGGATTCTTAATGGTGTCTAAACTTGTGGCATTTGGTGCCAAATCCAAATAGTTAATGGCTAAAAATGGAGGAATAAATAATGGAAGTGCAAAGTTAGGAGGAAATAGCTCAACTGTTTCTAGCCATGTAGACAGGGCTCAGGAGTGGCATTTGGCCATTGTTCACATCCATGTTTATTGTGTTTTTGCAGCATGGGGGGAATGCCTAGAAAACAGGGCCCTGTAGTGTTAAGCAGCATGTGTGTATTTCAGATACCAGTGTTGCCCCACTGAGTTTAGAAAATTTAAGAGCCAAATGAGAGAGAAGAGGAAAAGGCTATATTAAGAAATGAAGCGAATGGTTTGAGGGTGCTCAGGATCTGCTGCTAGCACTCTGCCCAGTGCTGGCACACGCCGAGTCAGAAGCGGTGTTTGCTGTAGATGCTCTGTTGCAGTGCCAACATGAGTTCCTGTGCCAAAGCTCATAAACTTGAGGCTGGAGCGGCAGAAGCACTTTGGGAGACTTAATGAAGGAGCCTGTAGGAGAGAGCGATGCTAATGTACATGTGTGCTTCCTCAGGGTGTTCTACAAGGTGAAGAGCCGCAGCGCTCACATGAAAAGCCACGCGGAGCAGGAGAAGAAGGCAGCCGCGCTGAAGCAGCAGGAGAGAGAGGCGGCAGCAGCAGTGGCGGCGGCAGCAGCTCACAGCCAGGCCCAGCAGGAAGAGAGCAGCGAGAGTGGGAGCAGCAGCAGTGGAAGCAGCAGTGTGAGCTCGGATGAAGATGCAGAAATATAGCAGCAGACCAGAAGTGGAGGGAGTATCAAGGCTGGACCCAACCTCTCTCTTGGTGGTCTCACTTTTTTTTGCTTGCACTTTTCTTACCTGAACCATCAGGTTTCAATTTAAGTGCTGCAGTTTCTTCATGCTACGTGTTCCACTTCACCTTGCCAGTACTGATCAAGCTGGGATGGTGGATGAAAAGATCTGTTTCAACATGGATTTTTTTTTTTTAAACAAATAAGATTTCTATTCTATTTATAATGATACACGAGGTACATAATAGAAGAATGTCACCTGCAGTGGAAGTAAGTTCTCTCTCAGGTCAGTCAGACCTTTCTTTTTGTGCTTGTCAGGAATCATGATAACAGGACTCTTGGATATAAAGGTTTCCAGACCGGAGCAAGAAAATGATGCTCTGCTCTGAGCTAAGTGTATCCAGTTACTGTGACACTGGTGATTTCTAGATGTTTCCTTTCTCAGCAAGTTCTCCTTCCTGTTACACTTTCCTGCCTTTCTGAGCATTTATTCAGGCAGCCAACAAATTTTGTGGAAAGATGGTATGCACTTTTGGCCTCTGCTTCACAAAAATGAAAAGTGGAATGAGCGAGACACTCTTTTTCCTTTTGAGAGGAAGTTTTATTTTTCGAAAGGAAGCCTGAGGTGGTTTCTTTTATGCCATTAAGAATGCAGCAACGGATATAAGAATATCCTGTGGGATTAGAGTAGCCACAGGCCTTGCGGGTTTTCTCGTCTTGGAAAACAAAATAGTCTGCCTTTGATTAACTTAATGGAAAGTAGTCTTGGCTTCACAAGTGCAATTTGAAATGAAAACTGCTGGTTTTGACTTTGCATAAATGGGAGCAAGTTTATTTAGTAAAAATGAACCAAGACTTTCTCGTGTGCTGGATTGTGTGAACCTCAGAGATAGGAGGAATGGACTCTCATCTCCAGTAGTGATCCCTTTGTGAATGGCTTTTACCTCTCAACACATCCATTTCTTTCTTGTGGCAGCCCTCATTTATTCTTTGAAATACCATCATCAAGAGCTTGTATGGTGGGGCCCTAGTTTCCCAAATACTTCTGTCAGACAGTGTGTACGTGCAGGAGGAGCTTATAATTTATTTCCACACCAGTGGCTGGACAGCCCTGCCTGCTGGGTTGTCCTGCTGTGAGCCTTGCTCTGTGCTGAAAGACTGACGCTTCCTTCAGAACTGACACATGCTAATAGCCCAAAAAGTCTAGCCACCAAAAGCCTGCTGGTTGAAAGAGAGTTAAGAAGGAGTGAAGTGGTCCAGGTGACTCAGATGTTAGATTTGCACCAGGATTGTTCTGTACATCTTTATAGCCTACATTTATCATTATTTTGTAAAGAATCAGATTGCTTCCTTGTGCTTCACAGCCAGTCAGTCCTGGCCTGGTACCCTGAGCCCCCGGCGTCCTGGGTGCTGGTGCTGTGTCAGGTCGTGTGCACGCTGCTCCAGCAGTGCAATGCTGAAGGAGCCGATCGCTCCTGCATTCCCCGCAGGGTTTCTAGAGGGGTTGCTGTATGTGAACTAGAGAGTGTTCCTGACTGGCTGATTTTTTTTTTTCTTTTAAATCTTGACCCTTTGAGCTGCTAGATTACAGGCACCTTCCAGTCAACCTGGCATTAATCTCCAGCGTGTCATCTGGCAGTCTCTTCCTGCCCCATGGTTTTATGCAACCATGATTGCTTTACTTTCTAAGTCAGGGAGGCTGTGTATTGTACCATGTTTGTTTTGATGTATGTATGCCTTTGGAGAGAATCCTTTTCCTTAATAGCAGAAACAGTTACTACTCTTACAAAATAAGTAGGAGTATCATTAAGGATTGTACTTTTTTCAGTGTTGACACTTTTGCATTTAAGTGTTCAGTTTTCTGCCAAGGTTGTATTTCTCATTCCTATACAAAATTGTGTTCCCTTTCAGCAGTTGGATGACTGTTCCATGTCCCAACATGCACAGGTCTTCTTGACTAACCAGGCTGTGGAAGCAGATGGCATGTCACGAACTGTTAAAATCATTCAAAAACTGCAAAGAACTAAAAGCTACTAATCTTTAAAAAGAAGCTTAAGCAAATTAGTCTTCCTATTAAGGGTTTCAATATTGATTGTTATCTTTTTTCCTTCTGTAAATTGGAGAAAATGCTTGTCTACCATTATCCTAGGGCCCGTAGGGAGAACAGAACCTTTACCACACTGTGCCAGGACAGACAGTAGGTGAAGCAGCTGGACCTCATGGTCCACTTGTAGTACTGGGATTGATTCCAGTAAAAAGCAATGATGCAATTACTTAAAGTTCTGAAGTATGTTTCTGGGAAGTTGCCAATAGTTTCCGTATTTTGAGAACTGCAGGGCAACAGTTCAGCAACATGCAGGGCTTGTGAGTATATCTAAGAAGGATTTAAAGTGATGTAGATATTGTTATACTGTTGTAATGAATGTATTTGCCTGGAATACCAGTGTCGCAGCAGTAGAACAGTGTGCAGTTACTTTACAGAGACTGGGAAGGCCTGGAAACACATTAGAGTTGTTCTCCACACAGAGTTCTCCACAAAGAAGTGGAGATGGATGTGGAACTGGCAGACATTGAGAAACATGTCAAAAATGAAGATTTTTTTGGATTGGTGAGGAGATCTGATTAAACTTGAGAACTAAAATAAGGTTAATCAAATCGTCCAGGGAAAATGCTTTCACTGTCCTGCTAGATAGAACAGTGCAAAATCAATCAGTGCGGAATCCCTTTGGGAAAAAACAGAGGCAGTTCATACTGGGACAAACCAAAGCTCTGTCTAACTCCAGGTCTTGTTTCGGACAGTTTGGGAAAAAACAGAGGCAGTTCATACTGTGACAAACCAAAGCTCTGTCTAGCTCCAGGTCTTGTTTCGGACAACGATCAGCAGCAGATGCTTAGGAAAAAGCGACGGACAGCTTGCTTTGACTAGTGGGTATAGTCCCAGCTAGAAAATAGGATGCTAAAGTAGCAGAACTTAAGTGTGTTCTCCAGTAAGGCAAATCTGCAGAGAGGCTCGTGCTGAAATGCGCTGTTCTTATGGGCAGAAAGTCCCCGCCTTTTACTCTTCTGCTCTGTGTATCACCTGCATTTACTCTAAATGCAGTAAATGTACACTAAAAAATACTAATTCTTGGTGTCTGGAAGTATGCCTGGGAGATAATAAGCAAACATTTAGTCATGGCTCTCAGGAGTTTTCAAGCTTGAAGCAGTTTTTGGGTATGGCACAGGAAATTATGGTGACAACTGATTGGATGAAATTAAATGCAAAGATTTAGGGAGCAAATCATGGGATTGCTTTAAGTACCATTTTAGTCGTCTTTCAGATATGATGATGCTTGATTGCAAGCATTATTGTAGTCTTCCAAAGACCTGATCTTTCACTGATTCTCCCTATTTTAGGAAATGTATTTCCTTTCATCAAGGATAAGCTATTGAGGTGCTGTTAAGAACAAATTGGAGATTTTATTTATTTGCACAGGAATAGTGTGTATATTACACACTGAATCCAGTACTGGTTGTTTCTCTCCTACCCTGCTGCAGTAGAAATAGAAGAGGACAGAAAGATTTGATACAGGGAGAGCTGTCACTGGAAGAAAATCAGAAAAGGGCTTTTTCTGAGGATAACCTCTAATGGCTGTGGGTTAGCATGGCTGACCGAAATCAGGTAAATATTCCAAGTAAGTGGCATCAGGTGGAAATGTTTCTGAGCGTGTTTACATAGTCCTAGTAGCCACCAGAAGACCTCTTTTCTGTCACGGTAATGCTCCTGTGAGTGTCTTGTTTAAAAACAAACAAGCAAAACCAAACCTGCTGCCCACGTGCTTATGGTAGAGTTGGGAACTGATCCTACGTCTGAATTGGATCCTGCCTACGAGCAAAAGTTGGCAGAGAATTGTTTTAAAAAAACAAACCAACCAACCCCAGATTGCTGTGGACAAAGCATTTGTCTAATCTGGAATTAATTCTGTTACTCTTCTTAGCAGGGTAGGGAATAACTTGAGTGGCTCTTTACTGCAGCACATATTAATTTAAGACTGTGTTGTTCCAATTATGTTCTAAAAGAAAAAAAAGTCTGTTCTGTTGATTTGTCAGTTTTAAAACCCTATGCTCATTATTTTCCATTATTTAAAGGCTTATTTACTGATTCCCATTTAGTATAAGAGATTGCTGTTTAGAAAAAAGGCAGTATATGCTCAGTCATTAAGTTGAGTTTGAACAGGGCATATCTTTGCTTTAGCTGTCTTTTCTATGGGAACAAATACAAGATTTGTAACTTCTGTAAATGTGTACTAATAGATTTGCCTTTTACAGTGCGAGATCAGGCTTCAGAGGGTCATATACCCGGTAGCCAGGTGGCTGTATTTCAAAACCATTGCCTGTTTGAGTCTTGATGCCAACTTTGGCTGTTGCAGAGATGCAGCGACAGATCGTGTTTTGCCCCGATGGCGTACTTTTGCCTGTGCTGTTTGCCCTTTACAGACAGATTCAGTCTTTCAGGTTTGTGATCTGCATGGGATAGCATCTCAGTTTTGTAAGACTGTGTGTGTATATAATTACTAGATACGTGTCACAAGTGCATGCTTATATCTGATATAGCTACAGGTGTTCTGCAGTCTAGCTGCAAGAGCAACAACGCTGCATTTATTTGATGTTTTTCCATTTACTGATACAGGTAACGGTATCAGAGAACACAACTGTGTAAGTTGAAGGCCTACAAAATTTCAATCGGCTGTGCAGGACCTTGGCATTTTGCTAGCTAGGACCAGGTAGGAATATAGCTGTTTTAACGCAGGGCAAAGAGAGAAAGTCTAAAGGTTAAAGGTAACTCGTCTGTTAATCCCGTACTAGACATGTAAAGTGAGGTCCAAATTACCTAAAAATACCCTCTGACATTTTTGGTCATTTTTACCAATGCAACAACCTTAAATTTAAATCAACATTCAAAAAAAAGGGTTTCCCAGATCACAAATAGAGACCTTTCTG